ACTTTTAGTCAGCACAATAGCAGGTCAAACTTAATTTTGATAAATAAAATATAATCAACATTATGAGAATTAATGTTAATCACTTCACACATTGCTGCACTCCTAAGTACTGTGAGCACTCCAAACAAGATTTAGCTGTCATTCTGGACAGTTCAGTGAAATTTTTAATGAATATGGAGCAGTGGTCACAAACCATGGAAAAAGGAGGAAAACAATCTACAGGAATTATGAATCAGGTTTACAGTCTCACTTCAGTGTTCTTGTCACCCTATTTCACAATAGAAGAGACTCGGAGAAAGATGTCAAATGGTAAAGACTTGACAAAACTTTCATGTAAAGAGAAGTTAAAAAGATTTAGCTTAGGAGATATAAACAAAATAAGGATACAGTGAAGTTAAGTTGGGCTCTCATATTTAATCTTTTTTTATGGTCCAGGAACAAGAGGAAATTTTGTAAAACTGAAAGGCAACAAAATGTAAAACTAATTAAAAAGAACACTTTTCTAAACAATCTGCAGAAATAAAAGCTGACATAAAAAATTTAATTTAACATAGGCTCACAACTTCTCTACCATATAAACCCATTTGCTTCAGAGCAGAAGCATATCTCACTTTTTGATAGGGGCTAGGGACTAGCTTCTTTTAAGTTTTTTTTTTTTTTTTTTAATTCATATCCCTCTGAAATACAGGTAACCCTTGCTTAGCCCTCTTAATTGGTTCCTGAAAAACTGAGCATTAAGTGGAAATAGTGTTAAGCAGAACCAAAAGTTTTTGATGAACCAAGGTGGCACCTGTGAGTATTATAACGAAGTTCGCTGAGCGCTAGATGGAATCAGGTATGAATGTAAAATGAATATTATAGTGAAATAGCACTAAACAAAACAGCGTTAAGAGGGGGTTGCCTGTATTTGCTACTGGACACTGTTAAAGGCAGGATGCTGAATTAGATGGGCCACTAATTCAGTATAGACCTGAATTAATTCCCTTCCTCAGGGGAAAAAAAAATCCCTTCCCTTCCTCAGGGGGGAATCCTATGTGGTTGACCATAGAGAATAGGGTTTCAAGGTTTGACACAGTGACGCACTTTACTAGCTCTTTCCTGCTGCTTCATGTGGCTAAGGGGTTGGTGGGAATAAAAAACTGGCTGGGGGTTGGCTCTGTCTGGGGAGAAGCTGTAAGGCTCTAACATCCCTGTGGCCTCTGCTGCAGTTGCTGCTGGTTTTACAGAAGGAATACCAAGCAGGGCTGGTTTTACAGAAGGAATACCAAGAGAGCCAGGAGCTCTCTTGGTTATTGTAAGCCTAGGAACAGTGCTTGAGTTATCCTTGCTCCTTCCCACGAAGTCTGTCACAATGAGATTGCCATATAGTGATTTGATGCAAACATTGATCCCCTTGTAATCCCAGTCCAAATCTCCAGATTTTCTAGTTATTAATTCTGTGGTTGCTGTTATCTCTGTTCTTTTAAACTAAATTAGAGTTCTCCTGTATGAACTATTTCAGTTCATCTTAGCAGAATTGTTTTATGTGTCATGTTATATTATCTGCTTAAAATGTTTTGTTACAACTATGTGATTTGCTAAACTGGCAGTAGGAAGCTTCAGAGTAATCATGAGGTTTTGTCATAGTTATTAATGGTACTGAACAATTAAAGGTATCTAATTTATCACATCGGGTGCAGAATTTCCCACTGCTTTCCAAATTCCTAATTTTGTGTAGTAAAATTTACCAAGGCTTTTAAAAAGGGCTAAGTGCTGCAAATTTAAAATACATGGAGAAATGATTATGATTTGCTTTTATGAACAAGTCATAAAATATTGAATGCATTAGGAGCTATTGTTAAAGCAGGGGCACCAAACACATGGCCCATGGGCCATATTCGACATAGAGGTGTTTACAGTGGTGTGTGTGGCTCCTGGCAGACCAGGGAATTCAAGAGTCAAAATAGCAGAGTCTGGGGCACAGAATTGAGCTTCCTACTGAATTCATGGTGGAAGTGGGGTGCATTGTGGGTCCTTTAATCTGTATGTCCCTCTCCCCTCTTCTGAGTGGTGGAGGGGCCCCACTTGCAGCTCACTCCTGATCAGCTGGGAGGTGAAAACTGTTTTTAAAGATGGTGTAATTTTTGCCTTCTGCCACTGTTTGGCTGAGGGGGCCCGGATGGCCCTGCTGTTTGCTGCTGACTGGCAGGGCAGCAGAAACAGTGCCATGTTTAAAACTGTAATTTTAGTTTCCCTGCTGATCAGGAATAGCAGGGTCCCCCACTAATCACCAGTGACGGGGGCAAGAGGCGAGGTGTGTGCAGGGGAACGTGCAAGATTAAAGAAGCCACCACACCCTATTTCTGTGAATTTGGTAGGTTCCTAGGAATGGCCATTGATAGCAGGAAGCTGAGTAAGGGCTGAGGCAACACAGACCTGCTCACTCCACAGTTGGTTGTCCTATTACTTGCCCCAGTGTCTCTGCCACCTCAGCTGCTGCCACAGCCATAGGCCCTGGTGCTTCCACCACTTGCTGTTGCCACCAGGTCCAGATCCAGCCCACAAGAAATCCTACAGTCTGGATATGTCCTGGGGCAAAGGGAGAGTTGGACACCTCTGCTGTAGAGCATTTACAGAACTTGCACAATTGAGACTAAATCCATTGCTCATAGAATGGAATGTGACTATATTTAAAATCAGTCTGATTTTATGCTTTGTATTTCTGTTGTAGGCTGGAACTATGATAGCAGTTGGCCTGGGTGTTGCAGCTGTTGCATTTGCTGGTAAGATAAACAATAAAATGAATATGACTTACCATGGTAAAGCTCTGTTTGAAAGGGCTAAACACAATCCTTGGCCGTGTCCAGATGGGCACAGCTGTATGGTATGTGTCACCGTAGACAAGTCTGCCATGCCACACACAGCACATTCAGATGTTCTCTGTGCTCTAAGGGAACGCTGCCTGTGTGTGTGCTGTTCCACCACTTTTCCATGGGTTTTTTTTGACCCCTGGATATCTGCGCAGCAGAATCACCACTGCTGCAGCTCCAGGAGGCCCCCAGGACCTCAGGTAAGGCTGCTGGAGCTAACCCAGTCCTGGCCCCAGCCTCCCCTACCCCACCGAGGTTAATTTGCCACACGCTAAAGTGCAAGGTGCGCCACTGCTACTTGTCCCTGGGGAACTAAACGTCCACACGTGGATGCAGTCCTTGGGTATATAAATAGGGGCAAATCTAATAGGAGTTGGAAGAATTTACATGGCCTTGATGAGACTGCTACTGAAATAGTGTGTCTAATTTCGGGGTCCACAATTCAAAGCAGATTTTGAAAAAGGAGAGGATACAGAAAAATATTACAAGAACCATTTGTACTGTAAAACCTGTTATAAATTAAAAGATAAAGAAGGATCATCTATTTTACAAAAAGAATGAAAAAATATGACTTCATCCTTGTACACAAGGGTAAGATTTGGGAGAGTAAAGGCTCTTTACTCTAGCATAGAAAGCCATAACAATATCCTCTGACAGAAACCTGATGCTGTTAATCGAAATTGAAAAAATAGTGCAAAATTTTAATAGTTAAGAGCCATTGTATATGCCATATTAGCAGGACTTCTTTATAAACCGAAACATGTTCTGTTACAACTAAAGTGACCTGTTTGGGCATGGCAGTTTTTAAAAATGAAAAAGCAAAATAGTATGTGACAAAGAGATTGTTTTATTTTTTTAAATAATAATAATAATACATATCAGACATAATTATGATTTAAATTGCTAGTATATAATTAAAGTAACTTGGAGAAAATTTCTATGACGTAGTATGTGATACAGGTTCTGTTCCTGAGCTTGGTAAACCTTCTCCACCTTCTTGGCACATAGTAGACTGCTTTTTTCCCCAAGCAAATAAGAATGCATAGTTATTCACCGAATGTGATACCGGAATGAAGCTGTAAGAACCCTGTAATAAAAATAGGTTAAAAAAGGGGAGGAAAAAAAGCTCTTGAGTAATATTTAGGGAGAACTGCATTGTGCTCTGAGTATGTTAGTGAATATAGCACTTCCAAGCTAAGATTGCATGTTGCTGTTTTTCCTAAAATTCATGAGGCAAATAACTCAGTTCATCCTACAAAATGTGTCTGAATACATTGAGCTTATGAATAAGCACTGTAGGTCTTACAGTTCGTGTGTTTCATTTTAGATAAAAAAAAACACAGCATTGTTCTTTCTCTTACTGTAAAGATTGAATTGTGTGAACCACTATAAACTCATCATCGAACTGTTGCCATGAGGTTAAGAAAATATGAGAATTTAAAAAATGAGATTAAGAGAATAAAACTGCAGAAGACTTTTTTTTTTTTTTTTAATACCGAAATTCCTATTATCTTATGATATTTTATTTAGCAAAAATGAGTCATTGAGGCGAGATTTAGGAATTAAGTAAGTAATGGTTGTTTTTTTATGACAATATTTTTCAGGTCGCTATGCATTCCAGCTCTGGAAGCCACTGGAGCAAGTAATCTCAAAAACAGTAAAGAAGATTTCCACTTCTGTAAGTTAGAAGTTGTTTTATCTTAAGCATTAATTCTCTTTTATCTTTAAAATAATGACAAAACACTGATTCAAATAGAAGAGAATCTTACTTTTAGGGCAGGACTAAAACTTCTGAGTGGCCGAGGGTCACAAGCCCCCCAGCCATACTCTACACAGACCGCACACACATTACACTGTGCTGCCATGGTATCTACTGTACCATGGCAGCACGAATGTGCTCTGAACGCCACACCACAACATGTGCTAGCCATCATTCCACTGTGCTGCATCATGTGGTGGGTGCAGTGTACCCCACGGTACTGTGCTGGCACTGCTCCACTGTGCTACACCACCCTCTCCACAAGCTGCCCAACTGGGGGCTCCCTCAGCCTCATTGTTCCTGCCTCTGCCTGTGGAGTTTGGGTGGGTATGGAAGCCAGGTTTGGGGGAGGGGGAGCCCAGAGTAACAACAGCAGTAGTAGGGGGAGCAGACTGGGAATCTTAGGAGTTACAGTTTAACCCCTTGGAGTCCAGTGTGCCAGTTGGACAGCCCTGTTTTAGGGTATATAGTTAACTTTTCCAGTGCAGGATTATTCCCTTCAGTTAATGCTCCAGTGCTTCTTTCAGTACATTTTTTTATATCAGGAATAGGTTTTTTTCCTCTTCAAAATGCTATTTATGTTATGGCTGTTGCTTCTCAACCAACGTTTTCAGCTATTACTGTTTTACAGACATCTTCACATTGAGTGTCTAGGTTTGAATATAGGTTATAGCCATGCTGGTCTTTTATTAGACCAACTCAGATGGTTTGAATATATCTTTCATAGGATGGATCAGATATTTCCTATTCAGG